GTCGAGGTAAGGGCAAAGCGCGCGCCGACTCCGTCCTTGCTACCGCACGCCTCGGCACGGTCGCCTCCTCTGCGTCTGTCGCGCCCGCTCACAGCTCCCCGGCGAACACCCCCGGTCCCTCAAATGTAAGCCTGCCTCAGCCCAGTTGGGCAAGCGGACACGACGTAGAGCGGCCATCCGGATCCTACTTTGGAGGATCTGCGGTGGACCTCCACCGCGCTGCGGTGTTTGCGAGACCGGCGGGTGCGTTCGCCTCCGAGCCTGAGCTACCCAGAACAGTCATACGGGCGGGGGTCGAGAACAAGGAGAGCAAGGAGAAGGAGAAGGTGGAGAAGAGGCGGATGACGATCGGGCGAGCCTGGCGGCACGTCGTGCGTAGCCTCGCTGCGCGTCGGTCGACCGCCGCTGCATAGCGGAGGGTGCGTGGCTGAGGTCGCGCGCGCACACACAACCTGCGCCTCGACTGGGATTGCTGCCGCAATGGACGGCGTGGTTTGTAGTTCTATTCTCACAGGTACCCCTGACATATATGACGATCCGCACAAGACAGACGGTGACGGTGTACGTATACCTAGCTCTCGTTGATCTGTAACCTCGCATGCACTATCGTTTTGTTTTCCATGTACTCATTACGTATCGCTTTGTAGACGTGTTCGCAGCGGTGTCTCGGATAATCTGCAGTGGCTAGGGCAGGAGACACGCACATATCTATACCAGATTCCCTGCGCAGAGTTGTTACCACACCGCCAGGATCAAGACTCTTTGGACGCGTCCGCGAAAAAGTCCCTCAGAACCCGACCGAGAATGGGCAACCCAGCAGCCATCGTCTCTTCTGACCCAGCAAACGTCGCGCGGAGGAAGTTCGAACGCTGGATTGTGGATTGGCGATGAGCGCATATACCAACACGTGAAAGTGATAGAAAATGGAGGGACAGAGCTCACGTCGTCGATGTGCACGGATCCTTCTTCATCGTAGCTCGAGTCGCTGGGGAGGATGAAGACCGGCGCAGGGCACACGATGAGACCACCGGCGAGGCACGCCTCGAACAGCTCCTCCATGAGCTCCTTCGCGTTCGTCCGCGCGACCGAGCCGACGACGGCCCATTCGGATTCCCTATTAACGGCGTATGCTCCCTTCTCCTTGCCGTTATCCTCACCTACCCGGGCATCCAAGCCGCCGTCCGTACGGAAGCGCGGGTGGCGCTCGACGAGCACCTCTATCCACACGAACATGCCCGCCTCGGGCACGTCCGCGCGCGCGCAGCCCGTGCACGCGACGTCGCGCGCGATGCGCTGCAGGAAGAAGTCGCGCCGGCGCTGGTAGTCGAGGCGGAGGCTGCGCACCCAGCGGTCGAAGCCGGCGAGCTGCCAGCCGTGCGGGCCGAGGAGGTGCGTGACGAGCAGCTGGGGGAGGCCGCACGGGTGCTGCGTGGAGAGGTCGACGAACTTGACGAGGTGCGCGTGGAAGGCGGGCGTGCTGGTGATCCAGCCGAGGCGCAGGCCGGGCGCCATGATTTTGCTGAAGCTGGCACGTCCGAGGATGACCGTCGCGTTTGGGGGGCAGAAGGGAGATAGGATGTCAAGCGGGAATATCGGTAGGGAGCGACGGGAGATGCTGCTGACCTGTCGATGCGGATCACCCGGCCGTCTACGTCTCGGGAGAGGAAGGATCGAGGGAGAGGCTTGTTGGTGGATGGTTGTTCGCTGTTCGGCGGATCGTACTGTAAGAAGTAATAGGGATCTGTCAAAGGACCGACGTTAGTATGTTGCGTTGACAGGGTTGCTGGGAGACTATCGGATGAACTGACCGTCCTCCACGATGATCAGGTCGTACTTCTGGGCAATCGCGTATATCGCCGAGCGGCGCTCTTCGCTAAGAGTAGATCCAGTGGGGTTCTGGCCGCACCTAATGGAAGCATGTAGTGAGTTGGGGTATGCCGGGAATTCGCTCTGAGGCCTACGGAACAGTGTATAGAACATGGGGCCGCTTCCCGCGCCTGGAGTCCCAACTGTCCAAGATCCTCTCGAGCTCTTGGGGAATGGTCCCGCCAGAGTCTATCCTCACAGGAACCCATTTGACCCCATGCGCCTCTGCGGCGATGGGCATCGGCCCGAAGGTGAACTCATCCGCAAGGAAGTGGTCTCCCGGAGCACCAAGCATCCGGAAGACCTTCGCGATGGCATCCGCGTTCCCAAGCGTCATGGTCGCGACATGGTTCGGGGCGGTGTGGTAGTAGTTGTTGACCTCGGTAACGGTGCGAAGCGTGTCAGCAAGGCCAGCGCCATGACCGTATTGCAAAGATGCTCTGAGGAGGCTCGTGAAAGCGTCGTCTTGGGACGAGCTGAGAACTTGGGTGGGTGCAGCCGGGCCAAGGGAGCGCCATGCCGAGACTGGGTCGTCGTCCGCTACGGAGGCGACTTCATAGTCAATTCTGCGGATCGGATAGAGACTGTGGTGGGGATCGCCTGATAAACTTTGTGAGCGCCATGATCATGAACACTTGCGAGAACGCTACCGTTCGCGAGTGAGATGAGATGTGGGTTGCTCAAGGTGATGCGGATGATCTCCTTAAGCGGATTGAGTTTGCGAGCGAGAACTTCCGGGGAAAGATGGTGCGAGAGGTCCACAAAGAAGTCAATTGGTTCGACCATTCTGTGCCGGACGGCCTGGGAAGAGAGGGAGGTCACAAAGCACACTTGAGAAGTGCCTGAAATACTTATGTACTCCCAGGCGAGGCGCTTGATTTGACCACTCGCGGAGTCATCGGCGACAACAGGCCATCCAGGATGCCTCTTTGTCAGACAGAAGATTATCGTTACACACGCGAACGAGCTCGCGCGTGGTAGTCGGAGTCACTTGTATCTGAGGCGCCGGCGAAGCAGCGAGAGGGGCAGGCGGAAAAGAGATCTTGTGATACAGACGGAGAGCCGTTGGTATGTAGCCTTCTATAGGGTGCGAATCTAATGATACCTGTGTGGTGTTGAATCTTCACTTATTGTTTCGGTTAGCTGACACCTTATGTTAGACAATCTTAGCAACGTCAGAACCTACCCTCTCAGAACGGCTGGTCGACAGGGGCTACACACGCGATGATCACTATGAAAGAGATGTATACAACGAGAGAGACTGTCAGATATACACACCGTGTGTACTGCTAACATATACTCCATCCCTCCCCGTGAACGCGACCTGGTTATCCTCAACTTGAGAAAACAAAGTACTAGCAGACGGATTGCGACTCACCGAGAGAATTCCAGCATCCGTTAGAAGGGAGCGGGTTGGAACTGGAAGTTCAGCAGCTTGCGCGCGTGGAGTACGGGAAGGCGTTCCTCGATGGCATGCTGCCCGTCCACGAGATGCTTCGTCTCGACGCAGGTATTGTATAGATTGACGACCCCAAGCGAAAGGAGGACGCTTAAGGTCTGGTCCATCGCGGCCCAGGCATGGTCAGGAATCCTCGCGACCTCCGAAACCTTGAGGTGTATGTACAAATTAATGGTGCGAAGCTTGACGAACAGGTGAGGATCGAGGTGGCCCATCGTAACGATGACCAGGTACATCATGTAGGTCTTGCCATCGACAGTGAGGGTGGTGACCGAGGGTGGGTGGTGGGGAAAAAGGGAGAGCACCTCCGGCGAGGTCTCCGCCTCATGAAGGTCTATCGATGTTCAAAGAATTGTCAGTACCGGAAGAGTACAGCAGCGCGCTCCACATACCCGGGTTCCGCCAACGGTAGAAGATGATATGGAGATGTTTGAGCGATTCCAGCTCCATGATGGATTGGTTAAGCTTCGTGACCTGGCTGAGCCGGTAGACGGTGTATATGAAATGGTCGGGGTTACAGTGCGTGACCAGCCATGGCATGAGTGTAAGGGGAGACGGCGAGTATGCCTCTGTGATCTTCAGCTGCTGCAGGACCAATGGACTCCCGATGCGCTCGTCGGTATCTGGAGGAGAGAAGCCGTAGAGCGAGGACACGCGTCCGCAGCGAATGGTGTGAATGGCAGGATGATCGCGAACCAGCTTGTCGAGATCCGCATTGCATCGGAACCAACAGTCGAAGAGCGAGAGCGTGTCCAGTTGGGGGAGGTGGGGCGCCAGCATATCTACGATGGAGTTGTCGAGTGGGACGTCTTTCAGCGTCAGACGTTGGACGTTCTTCGTCCGCGGGACGATGATCTGGATAAATGAACGAAGGAGAGACTTCGCCTCCTTTCCCTCCATGATCCTCTGGAGGTGTTTGAACGTCTCGTCCAGTCCACCATGCTCCAGTGTCAAGTTGCGGACGAAGAGGGCGAGTCCGGGAGCAGTGTCAACAAAGAGTGAGACCATGCGCTTGTAGTTGTCATCTCTGATGAGGATGGTCCGGAACAGATGGAACCGCGCAGACGAAACGAGCGACCGACAGACGAGGGAACATGCTCGAAGCGAATCCTTGTCATTGTGGAGATTGTCGATGATCTGGTCTAAGAGTTCGGGCGGGAGTCTCGACTCAGGTTGGGGGCGAGCTGTGCGCGAGTTGTTGACTGCTGGAGGGGTTTGACGACATTGCGGTCTGGTGATCGCGTTCCATGCGCGTATAAAGGGGCGTCGCAACTTGTCGAACCTGCGCTTCTCGCCGACTTGAGATCCCATGTCTATGGTTTAGTAGCGTTAGCTATGTAAGTAGGATAAGCAGATTCCCGCATAACTATGGCGGATGACTACCCACCTGGAAGGAAGGCGTACAGATGCGGCCTGGTCACCTCGCTGTTGGTGCGCGCTGGCAATGTGTTGTGACAGTGAGTAAGGGTGAATGGCGCGGCCCAGAGCAATATATCCTCCTCCGCCTCCTTCTGGTCTTATTGTCATGTACCGGCAACCCCAGGGGCGACCGGCTCATGCAATCATACCGACCATCGCGGAGGTACCGGTTGGACTTGGCCAAGTGGACGTTGAGTATTGTTATGTGAAACACCATGGACCTCGACTGAGATAAACCAGCATCTTCTACTATCATGGCTACCTGGCGCAATGGTAGCGCGTTCGGCTTCGATCGCCAACGGCTACTACTGGTCACGTTACCGAAAGGTTGCAGGTTCGAGTCCTGCGGTGGTCATTTTGTTTTGCTTTTCCCCTAATTTTCTCTCTTTCGGTGTTCAAACCGTGTGTACATGTTTTCTAGCGCAATTTCGAACATGCAGGTTCGCCCGTCCAAACGTTCACGCGTTCATGTTCAGCGAGCTTTAGCGCGCCCAACTTGGTTGTCCGATTAGCGCCAGTATGGCGAAAGCGCCGCCTGTTTCCGTCCGTCAACAGCCTCCTGACAATTTTACTCCTAGCCTCATGAGTGAGCGCGTGAAGTCGTGGGGTTGATTTTCGAGACCTGCTTTCATCTGAAGTTACTTCTAGTGTCTCACTCTAGCTCATAGACCGACCGACCGAACCATACTACTAATGCGGTGGCGCCGCGGCTCGATGTCTCACTGGATAACAACCGCTAATGACTCCCCTCAGGTTCATCATGATAACCCCATAGCTGATATCTACGTGGTCAAGCCGCCAATTGCCAATTGGCCTCATCGTAGGACTCATTCAAGCGGAACAAATTCAAGTGAGCATACTTGCCATTATGTCTATGTTATGGATAATCCGCTCACTAGATGACTCGGAGTACTTAGGCCGTTGCTACCCAAGCACGGTCTGTATTCCCTTTGAAGTCGTTGTCTCCTACAGGCTGCGTATCATAGTATATCAGGAGTGGCAGGGCCGTCACCATACTACGATGGCGCAGGGCCTACGGGACTCCGACTAGGTTCTGCATGCCTGTTGACTCGGATGTGTCACGCTTTGCAGCTTCAAGCTCAGGCTTTCAAGTCGCATAGACCCTTCTCAATCAGATCCGTGGATACTTTCAACCCCATCCCGCGGCGAGCACACATCTGATGCCGCACCACCTAGGTGAGACTCTGTAATGTTCGTGATCCGTAACGATGACTGATATCACTGGGCTGAGGAGTTCAGCCCGGGCTCATCTCAAGCATCGAGCCCCATTCTCCGTGTCCGCATGAACACTCACCGAATAGAAGCAGCGATATCTGCATGCTTCCGCCATGTGGCCGCCGGCTCAACGAGGCGTGACCTGGAGCATAGGCTTCGAAAGTGGGTGTTCGAATATGAACAGGAAGCAGGATCACTAAATCGGCTACTTATGCAGGGAATGTGTCCCGCACCAACGCTGCCTCCGGTGTACATGGTGTGAACGTCCAGCGTTCGACGAGGAAACTTGTAGTCGGGATACACGACGTCAAGGCTTCGAGAACTCATCAGTACGCCGACGTCAGCGCCGCACTATTCGTATAAAGTGCTCAAGGTCCTGCTTTAGTATACGGAGCGTCTTCTTACCGACCATCACTTGCCATCTGACCTGTGCTCCGAGAGATCCTCTCGTTGAGCCGGCATACCTTGAGGCAAGTCACTACAGGACAGTAGCGGTATCCGTGGGTTCAAGCTTGTCTTGAGGATCGGCATACCTGTTTCTGGCGGACGCCGGCATGGACGTCTCGAATTGCCGCGACAGCACTCACCCGACCCAGTAGGTCGGACAATCCCAGACGACTTTCCCACTACCGGAATGCGCACAGAGCGACGGTCGATTTCTCAGCAGGGTTGATAAGACATCGCGAAGGTAGTATAAAGCCTCTGCAGTCTTACGGGTACTCCAGTGCAACACTCGGTACCCATCTCTCGTCCAGATCCCTCATGAGGTCCTTCTTCACTACGATCACCGCGGCTCTTGCGCTGCTCGCGCCGGTGTTCGCTGCGCCGTCTATAGAGCTAGCCCCGCTCTTGCACAGCGGCGGCGAGACTAAACCCGACTCCTACATCGTCAAACTCAAGGACCACGTCTCCAAGGACGGCCACCTCGATTGGCTGTCGCGCCACCATGGTCCGTCCGTGGAAGTCACCTACCGCGAGTGGAACTCGCAAGTGCTCCATGGCTACGCCGGTGCGTGGGCTCGCACTGGCTGTGCTATGTTGATGGTTTCATCCCATGTTCACCTACGTTGTAGGTATTCTGAACGCCGACGCTCTGTATGCGCTCCGCCAGAGCGCCGACGTTGAGTACATCGAGAAGGATGGCTACATGTACGCCACCGTCACCCAGTGAGTTGCGTTGATACACGAGAGCTTCGTGTCACTTGTGCTGACCGCGTTCCTGTAGATCGGGTGCTCCCTGGGGGTTGCAGAGGATTAGTCAGAGACCGAAACTCCCGTCTGGGTCCAACCCAAATACTCTCAACTACAATTACACTTACACAGCGTCCGGTCTTGGCATACCCGTTTATGTCATCGGTTTGTTACCCCGCACATCCAGTCATTCTTTGGCGGAACTAATCGGATTGTATCACAGACACCGGGATTAACATTGCACACGTAAGTACCTACAAGGTGTCTCTGGCGAATCATGGTGACAGCACATCCCGTCTCAAATCCCCGTTGTCACTGGCCAGGTTCAATTCGGCGGCCGGGCTAGATGGGGCGCGACTTTTGGTGGCTACAATGTAAGTTTCAACTGGTTGATGATTAGTTGGACAAGTTGCTCATTTGTCTATAGAACGCGGACGGCAATGGTCACGGAACGCACTGCGCGTCAGTATCGCTAACTGATGCTATAGTGATGGCCATCTGAGAATCTATCTAGTGGCACTGTCGGGAGCGCAGCCTACGGAGTCGCAAAGGGAGTTAACCTGTTTGCGGTCAAGGTCCTCTCGGACCAGGGGTACGTGTATCGAATTCATTCTAGCATGCAAATTTTAACTCGACATGCAGCTCAGGGACTTATGCGGATGTGTATGTATCTGTATCATGATTTCTGCAGATCGTCATCGAGCTAAGAAGGCTCCTCGACAGTATCAGCGGCATGAACTTCGTTGCCCAACAGGTGTCGGGTGGCAATACCATTATCGCCAGCATGAGCTTGGGAGGACCAGCATCCGACGCCGTGGACAGCGCTTTGAACAGCGTGAGTCTGCCCTCATGACCGAGTGTTCCACCATAACTCAATCAAGTACTTTTCAAGGCTTCCGCCATGGGCGTTGCGTTCGCGGTGCGTGTGCTACATACAGCCTTCATCCGCATTCGCTCACCAACTCCGCTCTAGGTCGCCGCTGGAAACGACGGAGTCGATGCCCGCAACACCAGTCCTGCTCGTGCCGCCTCAGCTATCACGGTCGGAGCAACTGATATCAACGATAGCCGCGCCGGCTTCTCTAACTATGGATCTGTGGTCAACATATTCGCCCCGGGCGTGGGTGTGATCAGTACCTGGATTGGTTCGAACACCGTCAGTACTCATGTTCACTAATGAAACAGCGGCTCTTCTGACGAGCCTTCATGACAGGCTATCAACAGCATATCTGGCACTTCGATGGTATGCGTCACTAGATGTCGCTATATGTCATCACCACTGATGATCTGCGATGCTACTACATAGGCCACTCCTCACATTGCTGGGTTGTTGGCGACCCTCCTCCAGGCCAATCGCATGATGACTCCGTCTCAGCTCGCTACTGGACTGCAGAGACTCGCGACGCCGAACGCAATAAGCGGTGTTCGTAAGTACTCGTTCCCTTTGTAGTGTTACTCGATGGGGTGCTCATGCTCTTCGAAGCGTCCGGTACCGTTAACCTCTTCGCGTACAATGGCGCTTCTGGTTGACATCCACGTCTTCGAGAAACGTTATTTTTTAGAGCTCCGCGGTGTGGGGCATCTCTCGGTCGTTCTTCCAGATCACAGATAACGGCTCAGTATCTCGATGGGGAGCGTGTAGTCTAAGGCGAACGGTGTGGCATGCGTCGACGTGTTCAAATGAGTCGAGTCGAGTCGAGTCGAGTCGAGTCGAGTCGAGTCGAGTCCTTGTACGATGATCAGTGCTATGTGTTTCAATGGTATCGCAATGGCCTATGTACACGGGATATGTCGTATGACATCGCGATCAGGTCCGTCCCCTCTTCAGGATCATACTTCAAACTCTCGCACTCGCCTTGGCATGACATGTTCTCTGCTTGTATAGCTGCGGTGACGGGTAAACTTGAGGACTTCTTCTCGAAGTCACTCCTCGACTACAGTATCCAAGAAAGCATCACCTACTCATGCCAGACTCCCGAGTCACTGCAATAAGACGAGGGAAAACTACGACGAAAACGAAGCTGTAACGTCCTCTCAATGGAATGTCAATGGTCCGCGTCCGGAATACGTGGATCACGAGTATGGAGGAAGAGAGTGAAGTATACTGTATATCAATAGCCTAGTAGTCGAAGACATCGCCGAGATAGTAGGGTCAGCGGGAGCAGGGAGTGGAGCGAAAGCGAAAGGCACGATGCATATTTAGAGGGAAACGGACGTATAACGCATAGAACATATGGACCGTTGCAAATACACTCCGAGAAAGATAGAAGTTCAGCGAAGACCATGGGCAGCGAGGTTAGGGTGACGGGGTGGCAGACGCAGAGGAGCTGCCAAGCGGGGGGCTATCCGATAAGGGGTCGGACGCGGGCAGAGTAGAGATGGGTACTGGCAGCGAAGTCGGGGCAGGGACGGGTAGAGATGTGGGGAGCCCGACAGCTGAGACGGGCTCGCATGCAGCTGCGGCCAAGCCACCTAGCGCAGCGAAGGAGTAAGCTTTCACTCCGTTTTTGATCAAGGCTATAGACGACATTACCTGGTGAAATGAGCTCGCAGCAGAGGGGAGTGCCTCCATTCAAGCTGGAAAAATGCACTGAGCATCCTCAAAGCCTTCGCTGCAGATACTCAGTGCCACGTACCACTGGTTCCCGAAGATGTCCGGGTCAGTAGCTGGAGAGCACTGGGCGGCGACGAGAGGGTCAACCGGGAACGGCAGACCGGTGGGGAGAGGAAGCAGGGAGGTTATGGAGGCCGCAGAGCTGTCGGGGAGAGAGAAGGTTTGCAGGCAGCATAGGAGATTGGCAGTGCACTGCGAGACATCGATCGTCCCGTTGGCAGTTGGAGCGACGGGGAGTGAGTCGGTGGCCGGAGTAGCGAACGGCGATGCGTAAACAACGGCAACAGAGAGTGAGAGGGCGAGGAAGTGAAGTC